TCATAACCAGTTATGCATCCCAATGCATCTATGCTCCCTAACCATCGATCCTGAGACTCAAGCTCATATCGTGGTACCATAATCATATATGTATATAAAATCCTATCCTATCAATCCAGTTAGTCATTCAACTTGTTCAGTTGATCTGACTTAAATATAAGTAGCAAGAAATCCAATTAGTCATTCAACTTGGTCAGTTGATCTGACTTAAATATAAATAGCACATAATCCAGTTAGTCATTCAATTTGTTCAGCTGATTTGACTTAAATATAAGTAGGATTTAATTTTATAATCCATTCCCTTATTCCAGAATAGGTAGGAGTTAACATTATGATCTAATCCATACCTAAGATGCCACCGTCCCATACCGGTGCATATAATCCACACATCCAATAATTGATAAACAGATAAAGCAGTTCATCAATTAAAATCCAGAATAACCTCCATGTAATTGACAAAACAGAATTTAATGGTTCATTAATTAAAATCCAAAATAACATCCATGTAATTGATAGAACAGAATTTAATGGTTCATCAATTAAAATCCAGGGTAAATATAATAAAATCTAACAAGTATATGACCCTATTATTTATCCAATACAGATTTAAAAATCATGTCCCAGTTGTTTAAATCACTAAAATAACATTAAGCAATTTAATCCTCCATGTCCACTATCAGCATGCAAACTTATTTAAACTTCCATACTGTGCAAACCAATAGCATATAGATAAAGATTATGCATCATGGAATCCTAACATGTCATGAAAATTATTTAGAATCCCATTTACCAACCCAGAACAGCCTGAAATCTCAAAATTATCAAAACCGTGCCAAAAATTAAGTTCCAGTAAGTTATTTGGTAAGAGAGGTTGCTCTCAAAAATAAGAGAGCAAGCTCCCACACAAGGGAGCCAGCTCTGTGCTTAGGGAGCCAGCTCCCTAATTCCATGGAGCTGGCTCTCTCTCTCACAGAGAGCCGTGGCCTAAAAAACTTAGGGAGCCGGCTTTTTCCCCTTCAGAGCCGGCTTTGTCCCTGCTTCCCATCATCGTCTTCATTTTCAATGATTTTAAAATCCCTCTGTAAGTCTTAGTTACAGTCCCTAAATGTCCAACTACATCCCAAATCATCCAGGAAAATATATAAACTCAGTATGCATCATTACAAGATGTAAAACAGAATATGCAACGATTTGATCAACAATTAAATTTTAATTAATCAACACATATAATACAGTTTAAAATCTAAATTAACATGCATACATAACCAATTTTAAAATCCGTTAAGTTCTTGGAGACTACCTAGGCATGCACAGAACATAGGTCAAAGAGAGAGAGCAAGAAATAGAACTTGCCTCTGATTTCAGTTTTGAAACCTTAATGTCGTCTTCCTAATTTTCCTGGCAATCCAAGACTGTTCTCAACTCCTTTATTGCTCCTAGTTCAACCCACAAGCAAGCTTCTAATACCCCTCCTCGGTTCAGCCCTTGTTCCTAGCCAAACCCTAACTTTCCCTCTCTCAGTTTTTCTCTCAAACCCCACCGTTCGTGAATTCTTTATATACGTAAATAGGGTTTTCTTAACCCTAGACAGACTTATAATGACATTTATATAGGCTTCAAATAAAACCTAATTCTAGTCATGTGAGGAGTCGGCAAAGAAAAACAGAATAAAAATATAAAATACATATATGTATATAAGTCGGCAATTTTAATGAATACATATAAAACCTAAACACATTATATTACATATATATAAATAATGAAACTAATTTAATTATTAACAATTTTTAATAATTAAACTAACAATTTTTAATAATTAAACTAATCCAAAATACATATATACCCATATATGCATGTATATCCATCCATGGGTAAAACTGTACCCATTTATCCTCCTATCCAAGTAGTCCATGTGACTCAAACGGTTAGTCCATTACTACTGTCCCAAATCCAACTCCGTTTTAAAATTAACATTAAAATTAAAAATAAAACAATTAATCAATTAAAACTAACAAATACGTTACAAGAAATTTCCCACAATTAAACATAATTTAACACACGATTAAAACACATAATCCAAATAAACAATCAATCAAATACACATATAGTCACATAATTACATAAAAATGCACAAGAAATAGAAATTTAAAATTCCAATTATATCCTTTTGAAAACTAGGGGTATTACACTCTTCAAGTATCTAAGGATCCATTTTACCGCCTCCCAATGATGCTTGCCTGGATTACTCATGTACCTGCTCACAACTCCCACTGCATGTGTTATGTCCAGTCGGGTACAAACCATGGCATACATTATGCTGCCAATAGCTGAGGCTTATGGAACTCTTTCCATGTATGCTCGTTCCTCCTCTGCCTTGGGCGACTGTTCTTTAGTTAGTCTGAAGTGTGACACCCCCAACATTTTCCACGCATAAGTTGATCAGGCTTATACACGAAAAACGAGAGATATCAAAAACAATTGGTAATATACAAGCATGGAATACAAAATGATAATAATAAAAGAATTTAGACAGGAAAGGAACACTAAATAATAAAACATCCATCCATCCTTTATTTAATACAGTACTCCATTACAACTTGAAAATCCTATGTCAAGGATCCCTAAATATAAACTTGAGAGTACAACGTCAAAAGTAAATAAAACTGAAACTGAAGTAATACATAAAACTTCTACCCTGAACTGGATCGTAAGAGTAGATGAGTTCGGATGGTGGTCCCACACTGCTAACCTCAACCTTGGAACGGGTACTGACCAGATCCTGAAATAACAACAATGGTGGGTCAACCCCACGAGCAAGTCCTCTCTACTGTGACCCAAATCAGAAAATCAAATAAATTAATCATTATGAATGAGTACTATATCTGTATACATCCTAAGGGAACTACCCAATGTATAATATGACCTCAACCAGAAAAGACGGTGATCACTTAGACTCACACTAGGTGGTTAAGTGTCTCCTTTCCCTACCCGGGAAATCAGCTATTATACATGGTACAAGGTACTAAAAACACAGACTGTAAGGACTACACAGTAGTAACGTATCTCAAGGTATTAATGAATATACTGAGCATATCACGTAGGCAACACATGCCAATAATATTAAACCACATACCCCGACAGCCACACATCTGTCTATGGCAACGAATACATAAGGTATAAATGAGTCTCAACTTATTAGTCAGCTCACATGGTTCTATATGGCAACACATCCATATAATATAAATGTGACATAATTTATTTAGCAGTCTATTTATCTCCGGAAATGCACACAGCATAATAATAATGATTTGTATATCATTAACAACATAAATAATCCTGTAATGTATAACAAACAATTTATTTGAATTAAAACCATGTAATCATTTAATTTTAACATTTATGATTAATACCGTTTAATAAAATAATAACACAATTAATAATTTACTATGTCATTAAATTAATTACATTCGTTTAATGGCGATCTGTATTGAAAACGATACAATTAATATTTAGAAATATTAATCGGATATAATAATAACTAACGAGTAATAAACTAATAATTTAATTGTCCCGTTAAACCTGTAAGTACCAACCATAGGCCCAAAAATGCAAGTTAAAGGTTCTGGAAATTACAAATCAGTTCATAGGGGTATTCTGGACATTTCCAGCTGCTGCAGAGACCCCACACGCGCCCTCACGCGCCTCCCAGAGCCTCCCACATACGCCGCCACTTTTCTCACACGCGCACGCGCTTACACGCGCCTCCACGCGCGTCTGGAGTCAGCCACGCGCGTACACGCGCTGCCACGTGCGCACTAAGGCGTCCTGCTGACGCGGCGTGTGCTGGTTGGTCGGTTGTACCGCGTCTCTGTGGGCGTGCTGCACTGGATTAATCTACTGATCCTAAATTAATCCTACGGCTGTTGATGCGTGTACATCGAGATACAATGTTCTGCGTTACATGCAATTGATCTACTGATTGCTATTAAATCTAATGGCTGCTGATGCACGTGCATAGTAACCCTTATGCGCTGCATCACACCGAAACACACCGGTCACCTTCCTCACTGCCGGTGGCCGGAAACCTCATCGGAGACTCGCCGGAATTTACAGAAAATTCCCGAAAAGTCTTAAAAAATCTCAAAAAAAATCCCTAAAACCTTAAATAATTATTTTTAGCTATATTTTAATTACATAGGCTAATAAACAATTATCTAACACCTTTAATAATTAAAATCTCATTACTTTAATAAACTAAAAATTAATTTATTGAAATTCCTAGCATAGTTTCTAATCTCTAAATAGCCGAAATAAATTAATTGAATAATTTATGGATTCAAAGGGGAAAAGTAGATAATAACTTGCCTTATGGATTTGAAACAAATCCGCCGGTTGCGCGTAGTCGGGTAAAATCACCTACACCGGTCTAAGCTTCTCTCTCTCTCTTTTCCTTTCATTCTTCTAGAATTGTTCACTGTTATTTTGCTCTTCTACTTACGTGAGTTTTCCTTCAAATGGTAAGTTATCAACTATTATATATACTAACTAATATAATATATATAATACAAATATCTAACTTTATATTAAATAGCCAAACATTCCTACCTAAACTAAGTTAATGGAAGGCAATCTAAGTCAAGCTTGGTTGGTCATAAAATTATATAATAGTAAAAAAAAATCCTAGCAGTCAAACTAATAGTTAATTGAAAACTTGATATTATTTTATTACTATTATTATTACTATTATTATTACTATTATTATTATTATTATTATTACATATTAATACACTACATTATAATATAATTAATATAAATTAATATAAAACATAACCAAAAAATATACTAACATTATAATATAAAGAATATACAATTAATAATACATGCACAAATAAATAATATTATTTTAATAATTTAGCATACATATTTAAAAGCTGAATAAATCTACACATTAAATATACAGAATTAATTTAGATAAACTCTTTAAAAATACGGGGTATTACATGAAGTGACTAACTAATGGGGTGTTCACTGGTTTTGCATCTTGCATGCTGAACTTGCTGAGAACCTTTTTAACATACTGTGTTTGTGACAGCTTCAGAGTATCACCCATTCTGTCTCTGCAAATCCTCATGCCAAGAATTTGTTTTGCTTCACCCAAATCTTTCATTGCAAAATGCATAGACAATTGTTTCTTCAGATTTTTAATCTCCTCAAGACTTAACCCAGCAACCAACATATCATCAACATACAACAATAAGATAATGTAACTGTTGTCAAACCTCTTAACATAACAACAATGATCTGCATAGTATCTAGTGAAACCATTACTGCACGTGAATCCATCAAACTTCTTGTACCACTTTCTAGGGGCCTGCTTCAAACCATACACACTCTTTTTCAGCTTGTATACCAAACCTGCTTTTCTGGCACTGTGAATCCCTATGGTTGTCTTATATAGATATCTTCCTCCAAATCACCATCGAAAAAGGAAGTCTTCACATCTAACTGTTCTAAATGCAAATTTTCTACAGCCACAATTCCAAGCACCAATTTGATTGTAGTCAACTTCACAACCGGGGAGAAAATCTCAATGTAGTCAACACCATGCTTTTGCTGAAATCCCTTCACAACCAATCTAGCTTTGTAACGCTTGTTGCCATCATATTCTTCCTCGATTCTGTAAACCCACTTGTTATGTAAAACCTTCTTGCCCTTGGTAGTTCAGTTAGCTCCCATGTCTGATTTGACATGAGTGGGTCCATCTCATCCTGCATAGCTGACTCCCACTTGGTTGAATCACCAACCTGTACTGCTTCATCATAACTCTCTGGTTCACCACCATCAGATAACAACAAATAGTGTAAAGAAGCTAAGAAACGCTGCGTAGGTTTGGAGACTCTAGAGGATCGTCGATACAGTAATAGGTATGCCTTGTTCCACCTATTGAACTATATTTTCTAGATTGTTCTGAACTCTCCTCTGCACATTTTCCTCGGAGATTTCCTCCAACTCAACAAGCTCATCATTTTCAGTATGAGCACCTTCATTAGTAGAATCTAATGCTAACTTATCCTTATACATTACTTTTTCATTGAACACGACATCTCTGCTTCTAATTATCTTCCGGTTTTGATCACCAAACTCATCAGTGCCATACCCAATAAAAGTATATTTTTTTGACTTTGGATTAAGCTTGTTTCTAGCATCAGAACTTATATGTACATATAAAACACAGCCAAACACTTTCAGATGTGAAAGATTTACCTCTTTTTTGCTCCAAGCCTCCTCTGGTAAGCCTCCATCCAAAGGAATAGAAGGTCCTCAATTAATCAACTATGCTGCAGTGTTAACTACATCAGCCCAAAACATCTTAGGCAATCCAGCATGCATCCTCATAGTTCGAGCACACTCATTCAAAGTTCTGTTCATGCGTTCTGCAACCCATTCTGTTGTGGGGTTTTAGGAATAGTCTTCTCCATTCTGATCCCAGTAACAGCATAGAACTCTTTGAAGCTTTTGTCTACATACTCACCACCATTATCAGACCTCAAACACTTCACCTTTAACCATGTCTCATTCTCCACCATAGCCTTCCACTTCTTAAAAGTATCATATACTTCAGATTTATTTTTCAAAAACTAAATCCAAATCTTTCTTATAGAACCATCGATAAATGTAACATAATATAATGAGCCACCAAGAGATGAAACTGGAGAAGGCCCCCACACGTCTATATGAACCAACTTTAATTTCTCTGTCTTAGGTGTCCTGCCAACCTTTGAAAAACTGACCCTCTTCTGTTTCTTGAAGATACAATCCTCAAACAAACCAATTTCAACTGATTTAATACCCGGCAATTTTTCTTTTGACAGAAGTACCTTCATCCCCCTTTCACTCATATGACCTAGTCTATAATGCCACAGGTTTGAATCTACGCCAGCATCAGCAACAACAATGGCATTCTTGGTGTTTGTTGTCATGTATAGAGTACCTGTAATGCTTCCACGAGCCACAACCAAGGATCTCTTGGTGATTTTCCACAAGCCACCTACAAAATTAACTGCGTGCCCATCGTTATCAAATTATCCTACAGAGATCAAATTTCTCTTCAAGCCAGGAACATACCTCACATTCTGAATCTTTCATACAGCCCCATTAGGTTGCCTGATTCGAACATCACCTTTACCCACAATATTCAAAGGCTCATCATCAGCCAAATAAACCTTTCCAAAATTACCACTAACATAGTTCACCATGATTTCACAATGTAAGGTAGAGTGAAATGATGTACCTGAGTCTAGAACCCAAGACTCAACCGGACTATCTACATTCAAAATTAGAGCATCAACAATCTCTTATCTGATAGCGTTTACAGAATCCTGTTTTCCTTTGCTCTTTTTCTTTGGTGCTTGACACTCAAACCTTAAATGCCCCTTCTTTCCACCGTTCCAGCAGATTCTAATTTTTGACTTGCTTCTGTGTTTGGATTTGGATTTACTGCGATCCGAGTCTGATCTTTTAGAAGTTCTTCCTTTGCCCTTGGTATTGAAAATAGATCCAGATGATTCCCCTATTTCCCTTCTACGAATATCTTCGCTGAGGATCAAGTCCCGAACATCATCAAACTTCAATTTTCTTTTTCCTGAAGAACTACTCACTACTGTAACAGTACCGTTCCAGCTTTCTGCTAAAGAGGATAGGAGAAGCAATGCCTTAATCTCATTATCAAACTCAATCTTTACAGAGCTTAACTGAGTCGTAACAATGTTAAACTCGTTCAGATGGTCAGTCACTGAAGTGCCTTCTGACATTCTTAGGTTGAATAATCGCAGTGTAAAATATACATTGTTAGACGCAGTGGGTTTCTCATACATATTTGAAAAAGCAGTCATCAAACCTGTTGTTGTCGTCTCCTTTGCTATATCAAAGGCAACGTTGTGAGATAGTGTCAATCGAATGACCACTAGTGCCTGCCGATCAAGAAGAGCCCAATCATCATCCTTCATCTCTTCTGGTTTTTCTCCGAAAAGAGGCTGATACAACTTCTTCTGATACAGATAGTCCTCAATCTGCATCTTTCAGAACCCAAAATCTACACCATTGAATTTGTTGATCTTGATCTTTCCTTCTTCTGTACCCATCGCTCACACTTGAAGCTAATGGCTCTGATACTAGTTGTTGTGAAATTAAACAGAAAACACAAGAAATAGGTCAAAACACACACACAACAAGACACAGATTTTACTTGGTTTACCCAAAATTCAGGGTTACATCCAAGGGTTGCAGGGATTTCACTATGATGATAAAAAACGGTAGCGGATACAGAGAGTTCAAAATAAATAAATACCCTCGCACTAGGGCAATATAGCAAGTGCGAAAATAACCAAAATATCCTCCAAAAAGTTGGGCCTTGGTGTACAGTATCTATCAGGCTCCACACTACCCATCATATCAAAGCCCTCTCGCTAAGAGAGAGTATGTATTTTGAGATCATTATCATATTGTACATTCATGTTTCGGTTAATGTTGTTTATGGTTTCTTGCTATAACATTTTGAAAAGTTATTTATATAATGTGATGTATGGTGTGAATTTACTAAGGATGTGTTCGGCTGCATGGAATTGAAGAAAATTTTAGTTTAATTTTAAGAGTTGGTTTTCTCCAATTCCACCAATTTTAATGTTAAAACTTCAACTCGATGCAACAGAACATAGCCTCTTGCATTGTATGCTTTTAAGTTCTATATTTTAATATCACCACACCTACTTGAGAAAGTCATTACTTTTGAACAACATTTACATCAATGACAAACCAAACACACCCATCTAATGGCGGTCAAGGATAATTTTGAAATGTGGAATTCTCTCATCAATGTAAAATTTATATAGTTATATAAGTAGTTAGTTTATATAATATTCTTACTTTCATTTGTCCTTATGAAGACTTGAACCAGGTCCATACTATTCGGAAGTGCTTGAAATTTTTATTATTTTTACACATTCTAAAAAAACTCTTTGGTATCTTAAAAAACATTGTTTAATGAATAGTTTTACATTTTTAACAAAATAGCAATCCCTCACAGAAAGTGAAGAGCTTTCGAAGTGTTCCTTCTTCTACTCTTTAAATTGTTCACACAATCACAAGCTTTTGGGTTTCCAATTAATAATGGCTTCCATGAGCACACACACAGTGTCTTCCTCTTCTACTTCTACCCTAAAATGGAATTATGAAGTATTATTGAGCTTCAGAGGTGAAGACACTCGCAAGAACTTTGTAGACCACCTATTCGCTGCTTTGTCTCAGAGAGGAATCTAAACCTTTAAAGACGATGAAGAACTCGGAAGAGGGGAAGATATTTCACCGGCGCTGCTGAAAGCGATCGAAGAATCAAGGTTCGCTCTCATCGGCTTCTCTAAAAACTATGCTTCCTCCAAGTGTGTTTGGATGAAGTCAAACTTGTAATGAGAGCGGGGGAGAAGACTTGTTGAAAAGAAGAAGATAAAATATAAAAAATAAAAAATAAGTCATATGAAAAGTTTTTGCCATTTTTTCAAACAACAATATTAAATAGATATTTAATATTTTACCGTTGGTGTAACTTAATCAAAAATATTTTTAGTGCTAAAAAACGTGAATGAGTGAGTGAGAGAGAAAGATTTTTGGGCCTAATATTAAATTTATATATTTGTTAAGATTTATTGTAAAATGTGAATGAGAGTAGAAAAAGAAAAGGAAAAAAAGTCATATAAGGATGTAAATATTTGGGGGCCAATATTAAATTTATGTATTAATCAGAGTTCAAACAAGCAAGGAGAAAAAAACAGTTAATGTTAGGATATAAATCTTTGAGGCCTAATATAAATTTTTTATGTTTGTTAGAGTTTAACGAAAATTTTAAAATTTTGGGGCCTTCCTATTGGCTGGGCCCTTAGGCAACCACCTAAGTCGCCTAAGGCTCGAGCCGCCCTGCAGTGTTCTATGATGTGGATCCTTCGGAAGTGCGGAAACAAACAGGAAGCTATGGATCAGCCTTTGAAATTAAATGAGAAAGTTTTTAGCGGGTAATTATCACAAATTTAGTGCATTCTAATGCAATCTACTCTCATTCATCCGTTGAAGTTGAATATCGTGCAATGACTACAACGACATGTGTTCGATTATGAATGATGAGATATTCTAAAAGATCTGACACCACCATCATTAGTCAAAGGACTCTAACTCGATGGTATATGCTCTCCAACCTCAAAATAGAAAGAGAGGAATTCGAGCTCCAACATCAAAACCTCATGTTGGGAGATACAAGATACTGTTAACTAAAATAACATATATTTATTTTTAGTCAAGCCTGTTTGAATTTTTGTATCTATTCAAAATTTCTTGTAGCTCAATTAGAATCGGGCAAACACATTTGTAGTCAAATTAACCTTTTTTTTTCTTCTCCTAAAAACTAAAATTCTATTATTTTTTACCACTTACAACAAGTTAAAATGATTCCAACATTTAATTATTGGATGTAATTCAGCACATAAAGAGTGTGAAATGGATATTTGAGGTGATAATTTATCAAACAAATTCATAAAGAAAGCCTGTGAAATCGATTTTTGAATCATTAATGTTATTAATTAATAAAAGAGTCTATACTTCTCTCATGCTTGAGAGTCAAAAACCATGACTGTGATAGAGAGCAACTGCATACGACAGCTCTCGCAATATATCTCAATCTATCGTGGACTCGGTTTAAGTCTTAACTAATTAAATGTCCATCCATAATTACCGACTTTAAACCATTTATGTTTACTAATTTATAACATAGTATTAATTGTCATTACATACATATATAAATATATTTTGTAATCAAGCGGACACAATCAATTCCATAATGAATCGAAAAATAATACATTCCATTCACCAATTGTATAATGCTTTAATAATAATATCCAGATAAGAAACCATGACTTTTACAATCCAAAATTATAATTTGCTATGCTAGGGCACATATATCCTAACAGCTCCCACTTGCACTTATAGCCAATTCGAATCACATCTAACTCCCATGTTCTCCATATGACGATCAAACATCTTGATTGGTAAAGCCTTTGTGAATGGATCAGCAAGGTTATGTTCCGATGCAATCTTGGCCACAAGTATATCTCTTCGCTTTACTATATCACGAACCACATGATGTTTCCTCTGAATATGTCTTGTTCCTTTATGAAATTTTGGGTCCTTGGTTTGGGCTATAGCTGCACTATTGTCGCAATGAAGCGTCATAGGCTGATCTATGTGCTCCACAACCTCCAGTTCAATTAGAAAGTTTCTCAACCAAACAACTTCTTTTGCTGCCTCAGAGGCTGCAATGTATTCTGCTTCCATGGTTGAGTCAGCAATACAACCCTGCTTGACACGCTTCCAACTAACTGCCCCTCCATTGAACTTAAACACATATCCAGATGTAGATCTCCTGGCATCTGGATCTGATTGAAAATTAGAATCCGTATATCTGACTGGAACCAGATCATCACCTCAATAAATGAGCATTAGATTCTTAGTTCTTCTAAGGTATTTTAAGATATTCTTCACAGCTGAC